TGTATGTCTGTGGGTGCTCTATGTGTGTGGGTGATGTATGTGTGTGGGTGCTGTATGTGTGTGGGTGCTGTATGTGTGTGGGTGCTGTGTATGTCTGTGGGTTCTGTATGTGTGTGGGTGCTGTATGTGTGTGGGTGCTGTGTATGTCTGTGGGTGCTGTGCATGGGTGCTGTATGTCTGTGGGTGCTGTATGTCTGTGGGTGCTGAATGTATGTGGGTGCTGTATGTGTGTGGGTGCTGTGTATGTCTGTGGGTGCTGTATGTGTGTGGGTGCTAAATGTATGTGGGTGCTGTATGTGTGTGGGTGCTGTGTATGTCTGTGGGTGCTGTATGTGTGTGGGTGCTGTGTATGTGTGTGGGTGCTGTATGTCTGTGGGTGCTAAATGTATGTGGGTGCTGTATGTGTGTGGGTGCTGTGTATGTCTGTGGGTGCTGTATGTGTGTGGGTGCTGTGTATGTCTGTGGGTGCTGTATGTCTGTGGGTGCTGAATGTGTGTGGGTGCTGTGTATGTCTGTGGGTGCTGTGTATGTCTGTGGCGCTAAATGTCTGTGGGTGCTGTGTATGTCTGTGGGTGCTGTGTATGTCTGTGCTGTGTATGTCTGTGGGTGCTGTGTATGTCTGTGGGTGCTGTATGTCTGTGGGTGCTGAATGTGTGTGGGTGCTGTGTATGTCTGTGGGTGCTGTATGTGTGTGGGTGCTGTATGTGTGTGGGTGCTGTGTGGGTGCTGTATGTATGTGTGCTGTATGTGTGTGTGGCTGTATGTGGGTGGGTGATTGTGGGGGTGGAGGTGGGGGTACATTACTTGCTATCCCCCCTCCCTTCTTACTTTTTGTAGGGAGGGGGGGTCGTGCTGCTGCTTTCCCTGGTGGTCCAGTGGAGAGTGAACAAGCCGTGGCAACGCTCATATCTCGCAAGAGGAACCCGGCGGAGCTGCCGGCAATAGCTCCGCCGGTCCTCTCCTGCCTCCCTCCCTGCATGTGGGTCGGTGGGGAGGGAGGCTGAGAGCAGAGCCGGCGTCCGGATAGCGCCGGTTCTGCATGAGCCAACAGGGGAGATCCTGAGATCTCCCCAGCCAGTCTCAATTTACATAGGCGTGCCGCGGGATTAGGGTGTGCCCAGGCACACCCGGCACACCCCGTGCGCACGCCTATGTCAGGGGATATGTTGTATTTTGGGGTTTGTAAAAATGTATGTTTTTTTCTGCTTACAGTTAATTAAGTTAGTCATTGTCTTTGTTAATTATATCACAGGCAGAGAGAGGGATTGTGTACACTGTATGGGAGTGACTGAATGTAAAACTATGTTTTTATTGGCTTGTTGTTCCTGTGTCCCTGTGCCCCACAAGGTGCACCTGGGTGGTAACCTTGTGGGGAAAACTGTATAAAAGACCAAGCTGTTAAATAAACCCTCAGATCTGCTGAGTTCCTGTTTTACCCTCAACATAGAGCCTTGTCTCATGTTTGGGTGGAAAGGCTGCATCTACCCTAGGGATTGCTATATCACTATACTCCCCAGGGATTATAATCACTAAGCTCGTTTTCCTGGCACTATAGTGCCCTGAGGGTGCCCCCACCCTCAGGGTCCCCCTCCCGCCCGGCTCTGGAAGGGGGAAAGGGGTAATAACTTACCTTTTTCCAGCGCTGGGCGGGGAGCTCTTTGCCTCCTCTCCACCTCCGATCCTCCCCGCCGGCTGAATGCGCACGCGCGACAAGAGCTGCGCGCGCATTCAGCCCGTCGCATAGGAAAGCATTTACAATGCTTTCCTATGGACGCTTGCGTGCTCTCACTGTGAAAAATCACAGTGAGAAGCACGCAAGCGCCTCTAGTGGCTGTCAATGAGACAGCCACTAGAGGATTAGGGGGAAGGCTTAACCCATTCATAATTATAGCAGTTTCTCTGAAACTGCTATAATTATGAAAAAATGGGTTAACCCTAGCTGGACCTGGCACCCAGACCACTTCATTAAGCTGAAGTGGTCTGAGTGCCTAGAGTGGTCCTTTAAGACTATGTCCTATTGTTGTGGTAGTTCTCCTTTTAAATATAGTCTCTTTTTTTACTCTGTTGATTCCCTTTATGTATTTAAATGTTTCTATCATATGCCCCCGTCTCGTCTTTCCTCCAAGCTATACATGTTAAGATCCTTTAACCTTTCCTGGTAAGTTTTATCCCGCAATCCATGAACCAGTTTAGTAGCCCTTCTCTGAACCCTCTCTAAGGTATCAATATCCTTCTGAAGATACGGTCTCCAGTACTGTGTACAATACTCCAAGTGAGGTCTCACCAGTGTTCTGTACAATGGCATGAGCACTTCCCTCTTTCTACTGTTAATACCTTCTCCCTATACAGGAGTGCAGAATTATTAGGCAATGAGTATTTTGACCACATCATCCTCTTTATGCATGTTGTCTTACTCCAAGCTGTATAGGCTCGAAAGCCTACTACCAATTAAGCATATTAGGTGATGTGCATCTCTGTAATGAGAAGGGGTGTGGTCTAATGACATCAACACCTTATATCAGGTGTGCATAATTATTAGGCAACTTCCTTTCCTTTGGCAAAATGGGTCAAAAGAAGGACTTGACAGGCTCAGAAAAGTCAAAAATAGTGAGATATCTTGCAGAGGGATGCAGCACTCTTAAAATTGCAAAGCTTCTGAAGCGTGATCATCGAACAATCAAGCGTTTCATTCAAAATAGTCAACAGGGTCGCAAGAAGCGTGTGGAAAAACCAAGGCGCAAAAATAACTGCCCATGAACTGAGAAAAGTCAAGCGTGCAGCTGCCACGATGCCACTTGCCACCAGTTTGGCCATATTTCAGAGCTGCAACATCACTGGAGTGCCCAAAAGCACAAGGTGTGCAATACTCAGAGACATGGCCAAGGTAAGAAAGGCTGAAAGACGACCACCACTGAACAAGACACACAAGCTAAAACGTCAAGACTGGGCCAAGAAATATCTCAAGACTGATTTTTCTAAGGTTTTATGGACTGATGAAATGAGAGTGAGTCTTGATGGGCCAGATGGATGGGCCCGTGGCTGGATTGGTAAAGGGCAGAGAGCTCCAGTCCGACTCAGACGCCAGCAAGGTGGAGGTGGAGTACTGGTTTGGGCTGGTATCATCAAAGATGAGCTTGTGGGGCCTTTTCGGGTTGAGGATGGAGTCAAGCTCAACTCCCAGTCCTACTGCCAGTTCCTGGAAGACACCTTCTTCAAGCAGTGGTACAGGAAGAAGTCTGCATCCTTCAAGAAAAACATGATTTTCATGCAGGACAATGCTCCATCACACGCGTCCAAGTACTCCACAGCGTGGCTGGCAAGAAAGGGTATAAAAGAAGAAAATCTAATGACATGGCCTCCTTGTTCACCTGATCTGAACCCCATTGAGAACCTGTGGTCCATCATCAAATGTGAGATTTACAAGGAGGGAAAACAGTACACCTCTCTGAACAGTGTCTGGGAGGCTGTGGTTGCTGCTGCACGCAATGTTGATGGTGAACAGATCAAAACACTGACAGAATCCATGGATGGCAGGCTTTTGAGTGTCCTTGCAAAGAAAGGTGGCTATATTGGTCACTGATTTGTTTTTGTTTTGTTTTTGAATGTCAGAAATGTATATTTGTGAATGTTGAGATGTTATATTGGTTTCACTGGTAATAATAAATAATTTAAATGGGTATATATTTGTTTTTTGTTAAGTTGCCTAATAATTATGCACAGTAATAGTCACCTGCACACACAGATATCCCCCTAACATAGCTAAACTAAAAACAAACTAAAAACTACTTCCAAAAATATTCAGCTTTGATATTAATGAGTTTTTTTGGGTTCATTGAGAACATGGTTGTTGTTCAATAATAAAATTAATCCTCAAAAATACAACTTGCCTAATAATTCTGCACTCCCTGTACATCCAAGCATTCTGCTAGCATTTCCAGCTGCTCTATTACATTGTCTGCCTACCTTTAAGTCATCTGAAATAATTACTCCTAAATTCCTTTCCTCAGATGTTGAGGTTAGTAGGGTATCAAATAGCCTACACTCTGCCCTTGGGTTTTTACGTCCAAGGTGCATTATCTTGCACTTATACACATTAAATGTCAGTTGCCACTGCTCTGACCATTTTTCAAATTTTCTAAATCATTTGCCATTTGGCTTATCCCTCCTGGAACATCAACCCTGTTGCAAATCTTAGTATCATCAGCAAAAAGACATACCTTACCATCAAGACCTTCTGCAATATCACTAATAAAAATATTAAAGAGAATGGGTCCAAGTACAGATCCCTGAGGTACCCCACTGGTAACTAGACCTTGCTTTGAATATACGCCGTTGACTACAACCCTCTGTTGCCTGTCATTTAGCCACTGCCTAACCCATTCAACAATATTGGAATCCAAACTTAAAGATTGCAGTTTATTGATAAGCCTTCTATGTGGAACAGTGTCAAAAGCCTTACTGAAATCTAGGTAAGCAATATCTACTGCACCACCCTGATCTATAATTTTAGTTACCCAATCAAAAAAATCAATAAGATTACTTTGGCATGATCTCCCTGAAGTAAACCCATGTTGTCTCTGATCTTGAAATCCATGTGATTTTAGATGTTCAACAATCCTATTCTTTACCATGGTTTCCATTACTTTCCCCACTACTGAGGTAAGGCTTACTGGCCTATAGTTGCCTGACTCCTCCCCACTACCATTCTTGTGAATGGGCACAACATTCGCTAACTTCCAATCTTTTGGGACAACTCCAGTTAACAATAATTGGTTAAACAAATCTGTTAGTGGTTTTGCTTGTACACCACTGAGCTCTTTTAATAACTTTGGATGTATCGCATCAGGCCCCATCAATTTATTTGTCCTTACTTTTGACAGTTGAAATAGAACCTCTTCCTCTGTAAACTCACATGTAACAAATGACTCATTTGTCCTTTTTCCTAACTGAGGCCCCTTTCCTTCATTTTCATCTGTAAATACTGAACAAAAATATTCATTGAGGCAATTAGCTAGACCTTTATCCTCTTCTACATACATTCCTTCTTTTGTTTTTAATCTAACCAATCCATGTTTTACTTTCCTTTTCTCATTTATGTATCTAAAAAATGTTTTATCACCCTTTTTTACTTACTGTGCTATTTTCTCTTCTGTGTGTGCTTTGGAGGATCTTATGACTTGCTTAGCCTCTTTCTGTCTAATCTTATAGATCATTCTGTCTTCCTCACTCTGGTTTTTTCATAATTACTAAATGTTAACTTTTTGTTTTTTACTATTTTGGTCACAACTGCGGAGTACCACAGTGGTTTCTTACATTTTTTGCTTTTACTGACAAGCCTAATGCAATTTTCTGTTGCCTTCAGCAGTGCAACTTTTAAATAATCCCATTTCTCCTGGACTCCATTTAAACTACTCCAGTTTGACAAGGACTCCTTTACGCATATTCTAATTTTAGAAAAGTCTGTTTTTCTAAAGTCTAAAACTATTGTTTTTGTGTGGTGTGACTCAGTCACTGTTCTTATATTAAACCACACTGACTGGTGATCACTGGATCCTAAACTTTCACCTACAGTAATATCTGATACCAAATCTCCATTTGTAAACACTAAATCTAGTATGGCCTCCTTTCGAGTTGGTTCCTCAACGAGTTGTTTTAGAGACAATCCCAGTATGGAGTTTAGAATATGTGTGCTCCTGGCACAAGCAGCTATTTTGGATTTCCAGTTAACATCAGGAAGATTAAAGTCACCCATGATGATAACTTCCCCTTTCATTGTCATTTTAGCTATTTCCTCAACTAGTTGATTATCTTACTCTTCTATATGTCCTGGGGGCCTATAAATCACACCTACACGAGTTACTGTGTGATTACCAAATTGTAACGTAACCCAAACGGACTCTATGTTCGCCTCACTAACTTTTATTAGGCTAGATTTTATGCTTTCCTTCACATACAGGACCACCCCTCCCTGGTATTGCTATGTCCCAGTCATTTTTCTCATTATACCATGCCTCCGAAACAGCGACTAAATCTACACTATCAGTTGCCATTATTGCCACAAGTTCATGGATCTAATTCCCAAAACTCTGAGCATTTGTAAACATGACTCTAAGCGTATCATTTTTTTTTTTTTTGTAAATATGATTTTTATTTTCATTTTCGTATCAAGGCAGTCATACTTTGTTTAGACTTGCAGGTCCGTACTTGGTAAGTGCAAAGAGTAGATCAGCAACATTGTGAGGTTGTATAACAGTGCGGGCTCTCAGGCCCCACGAACAATGTGGACTCGCAGGTCCCCCTTGCTATGGAGATTTATAAGCGTATCATTTTTTAACACACTTTTTACAGTTACTTTCTGTTTTTGTTTTGGGGGGCAATTTGATTGATGTTTTATCACCCTTTTGTCACACCCTCCTTGTTTAAATACTTCCTAGCAAAACCTCTGAACTGCTCGCTGAGAACATTTGTTCCCTTTTGAGAAAGATGCAAACCATCTTTTTTGTACAGTTCATTTCTATTCCAAAAAGAGCTATCGTGAGAAACAAAGCCACATCCTTGCTCCCCACACCATCCACCAAGCCACAAGTTAAAGTCCCTAATACGCATCCGCCTGTCGTTCTGAATGTTATGTACAGGCAGAACTTCAGAGAATGACAGTGTGGAAGCAACCTGCTGTATATCATTGGCAAGAACACAAAACCCTTCCTTTACCTCAGAAACCTAATTACAAGCCAAATCATTTGTCCCAAGATGGACAAGTACATCCAATTCCCCTTCCTGCTTTGCTTGCTTAACAATATTACAAATACGTCTCCTGTCTCTGTGAGCAGTAGCTCCAGGAAGACATCTCACAAAGCCGCTTTTGTTCAACTCTACACCTCTTAAGATAGAATCCCCCAATGCATTAGGTCTAATGCATTAGGTCTCCCCAGCCGGCGGGCGGGATAAGTCTCCCCCGACGGCTGACGTAATGAAGGGGAGGAGCGGCGGAGGAAGAAGCAGTGACGTGGGACATGTCGCTGCCTCTTGTAAGTGACTGAAGGGGTTTTCACCCCTTCAGCAACCGGGGATGGGAGGTGGGAGGGAGAGGGGACCTGCAGTGACAGGAAAACAGATTGTTTTCCTGGCACTGGAGAGTCCCTTTAAGGTTCCCTGGGAGTGAGGCCTGGGAACTGCTTGTAGGGGTGTGTAACCAGCGTAGTTATATGTGGTAGCCATGTTTGACCCAGTGATGATGACAATGGCGAGGAGACTACTGTTACTATGTTAAGAAGGACAGGCCGGATGAACATACTAGTGGGAGTATAATGTAACTGCAAAATATTATATGAATACATCAGAAAATGTATTATATTTGGGCGCAGGGATTTTAGGAGTTTGAGTTATGATATGAAATGGATCAGCATGCTCGATTTTGTGCAAGGAACTTGTCCATACGTACCCTGAATATGGGGAGAATGACATGACACTTTAGTAGTTAAGTGAATTGCCAGTACAGTGAGGGGGAACAATACGGGCTGTAATATGACCCAATGTGAAAACAACTGCACATATTAAATTTTTACATAGTTAACATACACATATGAGCTATCAGCCTAGAATAGTACACAACGTAAAAGTGATAGTAATAATAACATACGTGACATGTTAGAGGGAAATTATCTAAGTAGGAAGTATGCACCACGCAACATATTCATAGAAACTGCTAAAATAAGTTGAAGTTAATCTGGTAACATAGAACAGTACTGAATAATAGTGTCATCATCAATATCACCGCTAGAGGGCAGAGTGGTAGTAATGTTGGAACTAGTGATTCGTACGGATGAATTCATCCGAACAGGCGGCTACCGACCACTATGCGTACTACCGAACAGTGGTAAGTATGAATGAATGATATGAATGCAGGGCTTGAGTCCTGCAGGAACGCGTGGGAACAGCGCTCCTCAACTTTTTTCCACAGCAGTAACGCCGTTCCCGTTAGTAGTCCTGCAGGACCTGCCCTTTGATTGCTTACAATGCTGCGTTTATTTGCTATCTGCCTGCCGCCAGCGCCCGTTGCACAACACTCACACTGCATCAGAAGAGCAGCGCGAGGGGGCAGAGTCTGTGCGTCCCAGCCCCTGCCCTGTGCATGGGGAAGTCGTATGCGAAAGGAGAGTGGCCAAAGACAGGAAGTAAAGCAGCAGTGAGCACAGAGGACATGACAAGCTAG